GCTGTCCCAGTTACCACAGTAATAGCCTTGTCCTTGGCTTGGACCCCACTGATGGTTAACGTGCCCGAGGAGCCGGATTTGGCACCGGAGAATCGTGAAGGGATGTCCGAGGGTCTCTTGGGGTTGTCATAGATCACAGTGACAGGGTGACTGCCAGGTACCTTCTGCTGGTACCAGCCATACCTGCTGCTGCTACCCCCGGAGCAGGTGATCTGGACAGTTTGTCCCAGGTTCGCTGACACCAGCCCCGCGGCCAGGCCAGCGCCAGCAACACCGCACACGTGCTGCTCTTCCCCCTCCGCGTGCTGCATTCCCAGCCTGCCCAGCTGCCCCCAACACCCATCCCTGACCTGTCTCTGCGCTCTTCCTCGGCAGGAGGTGGGACAGGTCTGCCAAAGGAGCTATGATCCTTGGGCATCTCTGACAGATGTGCAATGGTTTAAGGCCACATCTCAGGAAGCAAACAGAAACTTCCTTTCAGCTCTCCAGCCTTCCCCCAACAAACTTGTGCCCCACTTCAGCTTTTAGTGAATAGAACTTGGTCACATGAAGGCAGTGATTTATTCTGCTATCTTCATTTTACATTAGAGCTCCAATTTCAAGCTACCACCAGCCCTAGTGATGCCCTTGGGGGAAGAACACAGGAACTCCTCCTTAGTCATTGGGTATTTTCCACAAGCCTTTTTCTGTTAACCAGCAGTTTCTTCTTCTTCAAGTTGAGAACAAAGACAAATAGTTTTTAGAAACTCACAAGCAATAGAACATTTTGGCAGCTTTACACCCTGACAGGCCGCAACAGCAGCGTCCCACCTTGGCCTGCCTCCACTTTGACTTGAGTGGGAAGAGAAGGGATCAACATTAGTGAGACATTACCAAGCAGGTTTGAACATGATTCAGTACTTCTTGAACTCAATTCTTTCTACTTTCACATCGTCCTCAATTAGTTGGTATACATAAGTCACAACTGTGGAAGCCTGGATATCCATCAGTACAAATGAGGGGATAACATTCCTGGAAAGAAAACATATTTTGTCAGTCTTCCCGATTAGTTTACACTTCTTGCTGTTAGCAAAAGCATATGGTATGTTAACACACCTGGTTGCCACAGGCTGGAGGGATCTGGGAAGCACTGCAGTTTGGAAGCTCTGACAGAAGGGTCTTGGGCAGGCTTGCCTCTAGCCTCAGACAGCCCTCCAGGCTACTCAACAGTCTAAGTCATGTCAGCCTTAGACATTTCAGCTGGCAGCAGCTGCAGAAGTCTAACTTCCTACAGGATATTAGCCTCCAGCCTCTGGGCAGACACCACCAAGCAAATCACCTTCAAGGAGCTGCTGCAACTCACCCCTCTCTGAGTCCAGCACAGCCCCAGACACACCAGTGCCGGGCTGTCAGCCCACGGGTTGGGCCAAGTAAAACCCTGCTAACAGGGAACCCCACAGCGTTCCGCAAGAAGGGAGAAAGCTGGCCACCTGCTCCTCGCAGCACCTCACCAGTGCTCTGCAGCACGGAGGCCAGATGCACGGGGGTGAACATACACGTTCCAGGTAATGGTCACAGGCTCTGCTGCGCTAGGCAGTTCAGGGACCCCTCACTCACTTTTCCAAAGCACTGTAGGCTCCTGTAGCTGATCCCGGGTTGATGTAGAATTTGTTTTCATGCTCAAATGCTTCAAACCTGTGAGTGTGTCCCGAAATGAGAATGTCCACATCCAGTTGTCTCTGCAGCAGTGCCAGGCTGGCTGCATCACCCCAGGGAATAACTTGATGGCCATGAATCAGCCCAATTCTGAACTGCCCGACAGTTACAACCTTTTCTTCAGGATAATTCAGGCTCTGAGAAGGAAGGCACAGCCTATAAATCAGCTAAAGTCCTTTCACCTACACAACACAAGTTCCAATGTGCCAAGACATAAAGCCTCTTCTCACTGAGTGCACAAGGTATATTTCAGTGTGCGGACACACTGGATGCTTGTACTACAGACAGCTCAGGCAACAGCAAAGAGCTGGGAGTTTGCACCAGGCTGGAACCGTACAGTGATCAGGACCCTCAAGGCTACCCAACAGTAAACACACACGAGCCCCCAGTTCCTGCAGCTACACAGCCAGCGAGGGGACTCCAGTGGCCTCACAGCAATCATATGACCTCTGGCACAAGTCTGAACCAAGGGCATGATTACCCCTCACACCTTCTCCCAGTCCCCCCATTGCAAATACAATATGAAGGGTCTAGAAATTAACTTTATTTCTTCAGTCTGAATCATTTCTACTTCCTATCCTGGTGGATTACAGTTCAGGAATTGCAAATACAATTGAGACAAGCCTAGCATGCAGGTGGGTGGGCTGAGGAATTAACTGCAGCAAGAACATTACCTCCAAGTCTCCCCTAACGACATGGATGTCCCCAGACAGGGTCCGGAGGTAGTCATAGGTCTCCCTGGTGCAGAGGTTTCCTGTACACAAGATGTGCTGCATCTTTCCTGGAACCAGCAGCTTCTTGAATTTCCCCGGCAGACCACGGCACCGCTGTGGGATGTGAAGGTCCCCCAACACTAACACCAGCTTTGCGCACAGCGGGAGGAAAGAGAGAGTTTTAACCCAGGTCGCTCAACCGAACAGCACAACACCTTTCCGCAGCTCCAGGGCGTTCGCAGAGTCTGGCAAACCACCACAGGCCCAGCAGGGAGTACTTTCACATCCGGCTGTGAGGAAACAAGCCCCCAGCACGCCCGAGCTGCCCCGCGGACAGCCCGGCCCGCTC